GGAAGAAGGGAATTGGAAACTGTACATCGTTTTTATTTCCTTTGGACTCTTGGGAAAGGTGACTTGGCTTTGCCAGAAATTTCACTGCTATTGTATTTATGGCTAGTTTTTATTGAGCTTGTCTCCTGATAGCTGATAGTCAAATTCCAAGGACTTAGAAAGGAGGTCTCAGTAAACTGCCCTTGGAGTGCCCTTTGCTATTAATTATTGGAGAGGACCTGGTGATGTGGAAGCGAAATGATAGATTATCTCTTATCCTCACTGTAGGAGACACCACTGCCATTTCTTAAGTTGTCCAAGTGGAAAACCACTCCCTTTTGTGTGCTCTTAACATTATTGGACAATATACCAAGACAGAGTCCTGGATTCCTGAAGACAAGGTTCTATCTTTGTTAGTATATATGTTCTCTTGGGCCTGTCATTTCTAATTTGTAAAATGAAGTGAATGAGCTCATTCTGTAAGGTTTTTGAAACTAAGAGCCCTAATTCTGTGACAGACCCATGGAAAGTGGGTTTTTTTTTTTTGATGTCGTAGTAGTATGCTTGCCTGTCCTGACTGATATAATTATTCTGTACCTGGTACTTTCCAGACATTTCTATGTATTTATTCACTTTATTCATCTTTTTACAAGTAAGAAAACTTGAACAGAGAGTATGCTATCAGATTATTTGCTAAAATACTCTAGTATTTTAAAATTGAAGTTATCTATATTAAATATATAATTAGAGATAGAGGTCAGTTAAATGATTTTTGGAACATGATTGAATTGAATCTACTGCCATGAGATAGAACGAATAATTTCTTCCTACCCCCTCCCGATTCTCAAGTATATGAAGTAGAAAGATGATAAGGTTCTGTAAGGTACATGTACTTTTTTCAAGATCCCTTTGTAGGAACAAGGAAATTTCTACTTAATTTTAAATATCTTTAAATTGAGATAATGAAAGCAAAATGACACATGGATTAGAGAAATTTTTGAACAATAAATTTTAGGTTGATAATCATATTTTGTTTGATCATGCTGGAGTAATTTAATGACTAATAAAATGACTGCCTAGAAAACAGATTTTCTTAATGCTAAATGTACAACTGGAAGTTTCTGTCACACCAACCTGTGACCAAGAACCAATTGGTTAGGATGGCTGTTTCTTAATGTTAAAAGCTGCTATGTTTTTCATAATCGATTACTTGTCTGCTCTCATAATTCCTGCCCCTCCATTCTTTTTTCTAGTCTCTTGAAATTTTTGTATCTTTCAGATACCAGGTGGTGTAATGGTTCAAGTAGGGTGTCTTGGGCTCTGATGCATGGATCAGCACCTGGATGTACCACTTAGTTACCTGATGACTTGGAGCAGGCTATTTTACCACTTTGTGTCTTCATTTTCTCATCTGTTAAAAGGAGGTTATAATAGTGGCCACCTTGCAAAGTGGTTGTAAGGATAAAAAAGCTTGGAATTGTGTGTTGCATGTGTTAAGCCCCATATAGATTTTTGCTATTACTGTTCTTTAATGGGTCTTGTGTGTCTTAGCCTCTGGGCTTTTACATTTTCTCTTCCCTTTCCCTCTTTCTTTATTTTTCTTCCCATCTTTCTTTATAGGGCTGACTCTTTTGATCTTCATAACCTCACATATGGTGGTTCTTCATCTGACGTGTTCTCTCACAGCTCTAGACTGGGTTGCATCTGCTCTGCACTTATGAGGATCCTTTCCTTTCCTTCCCTTCCCTTTCCCTTTCCTTTTCCCTTCCCTCCCCTCCCCCTTCCTTCCTCCTCCTCCTTTCCCCTTCCCCTGAGTATGAGAGAGATGTTGGGCAAATGTATATTGAACGGATAAACGGACCAGTATTCCTCCCATTATATTCTCCCTCCTTCTGTTCTTGAAGGCATTCATTCTTTTCTACTTTCTTTTTTGTTTTAATTTCTTTCCACCACACCTTGTCCCCTCCCTTCACTCTCATATTGGGCATAGGGTGCTTTGTCTTGATTATTGTGCACAGGCTCTGTGAGCTGGGAATTGTGGTTATTTTTATTTTTGCAGAGTGACAGGCAACTTGGCCACCTGAGGGGCAGCGCTCTTGCAGAGTTGTCTTCCACTATCACTGTCTCTCTGCTCAAGGCATTTTGGCTGTTTTACTTTGGACTTACCTTCTGGCCAGTCTAGGAAACACAACCTTATTTTTATTCATTCTCAGAAAAGATGATTTCCAGACTAAATATCTTGATTCATCTTATTTGTCTACAAGTAAGTTTGGAGCATCTCAGAAATCCAAATTGCTTTCACAGAACAAAGATCTGTCGTCATCAAATACATTTACATGACTTGAACACATTTGCATCCTCTGTTTCTAAGAAGCTTTGTGGGAGTGCATGTTGGACTGACAGAGAGGGATGCTTGGTTTTGATGTGCTTTAAGGTTATGGGAGTGAGCTGGTGGATAGTGGTCATATTATTTTATAATCCCACTTTGTTTTTTAATGACAGCTTTATTGAAATATAATTCATGCACCATACAGTTCACCCACCTAACCTGTAAATTCACCCACCTAACCTGTAAAATTCATTGACTTTTAGAATTCATGAAGTTGTACAGTCCGCAGCACTATCTAATTCCAAAACTTTTTTATCACTCCAGAAAGAAGTAGTCGTTAGTAGTCATCCTGTGTTCCCCATGTCCCCAATCTTCCTAGTCACTAATTTATATTTTATTTATTATTTTTTTTAAATTTCCACTTCATATCAATGGACTCAGGTCAAACATTGTCTTTTGTGGCTGGCTTATTTCACATGGCATAACATTCACCTGTGTTTTGGTGCCTACCAGTGCTTCATTGGTATGTATGACGAAATGGTCTTTCATTATTCATACACGTTGGACAGACCATATGCTATTTATACATTCATCGGTTGATTGATATATGAGTTGTTTCTACTTTTTGGCTACTAGGAATAATGCAGCCATGAATATTTGTGTATACATCACCTGATGGATGGATAAATACACTATATATGTCCTTGTAACGGAATGATATTCAGTTATTAAATGAAATAATATATGCTACAACATAGATGAGCCTAGAAAATATGCTAAAAAGAAATCACTGAATACATGATTTCAGTGATATGAAATGTCCAGAACAGGCAAGTCCAGGAAGTAAATTGTTGCTTGGACCTGGTAGGGAGGGAGACTGGGGAAATGACTGCTAAAGGGTATCAGGTTTCTTTTGGGATAATGTTAAATGTTCTAAAATATATTGCCTACTGGTTATACAACTTCACAGACATTCTGAAGGCTGCTACATTTTTCATTTTGCAGGGGTTACTTTCATTAAAAAAAAAAAAAAAGGATTTATAACCCCCATCATTAAATGCATGCCAGTTACTTACTCTGCATTTGGTATTCTATGAAGCACTGTGCACACAGATTAGAAAAAGAGTACTTGTTCCTTGTCCTCTAGGAATTTATCAGTGGGTGTTCCTAAATGGGAAGATGAAATAGAAACCCACAGAGTGTAATCAAGATAGGACACCACTCAGCGCTAACTTCTGGGGGTAGGCCACACTGAGAAAGATCTCGAGACCTCTGGGCACCAGCTGTGAGAATAAAGAAAGCTTTCAAAATGTGGACTACTCTATATAATTAAGACATGATGTTATCCATGCCTTATAGTCCCATGACCTCCTGGCAGGCAGAAGCTATGCCTTTGTCCATCTTGCTTCCTATGCCTAGCAGTGTGTCTGGTTCACAGGTAGCAGTATATGTTTGGTGGGGGAATGAGTAACTGGTGTTTTAGAAGCCTCCTGGATTGTTAGGGGCTAAAAATGCCTTCAGTCTTGTGATTTCCTGCTTTGACCAGCCTGGGGATTGGTTCTCCAGGGAAGATGTTGCTGAATCACCAACTGTCTCCAAGCGAGGCTTTCTTTTCTCACAACTGCTAACTGTTTTGCTTCCCAGGCCTTTTTCCTGATGTTGGTTAAAAAGGTGGATTATCTAAGTCCGGTCCTTCTCAATGTTGTGCTTTCCAATCTGGTAACATATCCTGGACTCAGAATTCCTGGGTTACTGAGAATTAGGGGGGAAAAGGGATGGAATAAAGCTCATGTTTGCTTTTTTTCTTATATCACATTTTTGAAGCCTCAGCACTGTAGAGTCTGTGTAGCTTATGGGTCTTTGCTGTAATAAGAAATTGTTTTTCTTTTTTCTTTTCTTTTCTCTGTGAAGGTACTTTATGTTAATTAAGTTCTTTCTGTTAAATATCCTTTGCTTGCACTGGACTTTTCTTTGTGTTGATTTTTTGCTTCATTTTTTTTTTTTTCATTTCCCATGCTGTTCAGTTACTGGATGCCAGAAGAACCAAGGTTTGTCCACTCTTGCAGCTCGCTTGTTTTGCTCTGCACAGTCTCACCACCTCCTGTGATTGAATGTGTCTGTCTCTGTCTGTGTTTGTTCCCTTTTGCTTGCAGATGCAGTAATCCTGTTTACTAAACCTGTTCACAGCTTTATTTGTAAAAACTAAAGTCCTCGTTTGTGTCTACTTGTAGTGGATGCTATTATTTTCATTTTTAAATGGAAGTGCATTGATCATGGAAAAAATGGATAGTAGAATAAAGAACACCTTAGGAAACGGAATACTGAGTCTGGAGCACTGTAGGCTTAGAAAAGATGTGTTTGTGAAAGTTTCCCTCTAACCCTTTCCACTTCCCAAATTAAAACTCTGTAGCTGTATGAGATCCCTTGTGACTGACACTAATCTACTGTTTGTGTATGTGTGCATTTCTCTTCTCCTAAGACATTCAGAAAGCATCATTGAATTAATTCTCTCACTCCATGTTCTATCCCGTGTTTCTGAAGTCACTTTGGAGGACTTCACAGCGGGCTCTCTGGACCTCATTATTAACATTTCATCTTCATAGTGGGTAGCAGCACATAATGTTGGCATTTGCACTGATTTGTCCCTCTTCTTTCTCCTCTCCTGCTCTGTCTTTATTTTTTTTTATTACAGCACCTGCAGCTGACCATCCAGGCCCTTCAGGATGAGCTGCGGACCCAGCGAGACCTCAACCACCTTCTGCAGCAAGAGAGTGGAAACCGGGGTGCCGAGCACTTCACCATCGAACTGACTGAGGAGAACTTCCGGAGGCTCCAGGCCGAGCATGACAGACAGGCCAAGGAGCTGTTCCTTTTGAGGAAGACCTTAGAAGAAATGGAGCTGAGAATTGAAACACAGAAACAGACCCTTAATGCCCGGGATGAATCCATTAAAAAGCTTCTTGAGATGTTGCAAAGTAAAGGTTTGCCGTCCAAAAGCCTCGAGGATGACAATGAACGGACACGGCGGATGGCAGAGGCGGAATCTCAGGTCAGCCACTTAGAAGTGATCTTAGACCAGAAGGAGAAGGAAAACATACATCTTAGAGAGGTAAGAGCATTCACTCTGGTATCCCAGACTGTGTAATACCAGTTAAGATATATTATCAAGTTACTTTCATAGCTTGAAAGACATCTGTAGTTATAGAAAAATTCCCTGTGTCATCTGCATTGTGGTCCCATCTTCTTTAAACTATAATTTTGCATTAGTTTTTTCTCTCTCTCTCAATAAATGTCCCATTTCTATTCCACATGTTTTTAGGACCCAAGGATGTATAGTGCACATCAGCTTCAAGGTAGTTTATAATTACTCTTCTACAGATAGTCTTGGTGTCATGGTCTTTTAAGTACAGTGTTAAGTTTTAGTTTTTTTATCAATCAAACATATTGCATAGGTGATTAGCAAAGTAATGAGCCCCAATATTTTGATAATTGAATTAGGGGAGGTATTTGAAGAAGTAAAACATGGATATTTCTGGAGAGAATGGTTAAATGTGAAGAATGGTTTTCAACATTTATTATTAGTTTAAGATAATCTTTGTCTGCATCTACATTGGTCTAGGACAGAGTGTTCTGGGTTTTCTGAGTGTTCCTTTTGTACATAGTGAGTGAAATCATCAAGTTCTTAGAGGTGGCCCCTGTTTGCCACCAGCACTGAATGTTGGATGCTCAGGTATCTGAGAATATGTGGTTGGATAAAACTTTGAAAAAATGTGGATGATAGCCAAGATTTGAAAATTTTACAGCAGTTCCTTGCCACTACAGTGGATGTAGATCTTAAAAATACCATGTAGGCAAAATGTGGGAGACAGATCTCACAGAAAATAGGAAGCAATAAAATGGCATTAATATTCTATAGTTATAATATTCGATAGCTATAAATAACAATTCTGAAAGATATTTGCTTACAGACCAAACTACTTCCTGGCATTAAATACCTGTTTTGATGCATAGCATTTCCTGTGAGTCATTTGGTTGTTCAGAAAACATGACTTTCACATTGGGGCTTGCTAGTGTAGATGCTCCCAATTCTCTGATGTGGATTGCTTTTTGCTTAGAACACTTGAAAAGATTTTCATGTGTCTTCACAGTGAATATCCTTCTTGCTTATTCTCCCTTTTTTAATTTCCATGGGACCTCAACAACCTGCTGGAAACCACATGGCTTCATATTGAAATGCCAAAGCAATGTTTTATAGGGCCTGGTCTGTTATCCATACTCCAGTCAAGTGAGTATGGTGGGGAGACTTTTACAATGGCCTACAAAGATCCCTACTCAAGGAATTCATACCATTGTTATGCCTTCCCCTTGAGTATAGGTTGAACCTTAGTGACTTGCTTCCCAAGGTAATGGGATACCAATGTCACTTCCGTGATTTGGTTCATAAGACTGTTACTCTCATCTTGTTAGCACTCTATTGCCTTTTCAACTTGCATATTTTGATGAAGCAAGATGTCATGTGGAGAGGCTCGAGGACAGCTTTCAGCCATCACCCACCAAGGAATAAGACCCTCACTCCATCACACATATTTAACAGAAAACTGCCAACAACCAGTAGTGAACTAAGAAGTGGATCCTTTCCCAGTCAGACCTTCAGATGAGGTGACAGGTTCCAGGCTGACACCAGCTTGATTGAAGCATTTTGAGGGATGGTGAAACGGAGGACTCAACTAACCTGTGCCTGGATTCCAGATCCACAGAAACTGTGAGATAATAAATGTGTGTTTAAGTAGCTGAATTTTAGGACAATTTGCTATCCAGCAATTGATGCTAATATAGTGGAGCAGAAGCTAGTTTCTTCCCCTCTTACTTCATTGACTTTCCATCTGTTTTGCAGAAGAGAAGTAGTAATTACTGATATGATGTCACTTGAATGTATAGTGACTGTGGACTTTGAAAATTTGCATCCCAAAATTGTGGTTAATGATTGCTATAGTTGCGAAAAATTCTTGCTTTATCTGGGGTGCCAGGAATCATGTTGCATCTTCAGTCTGTGGCGGCAGAGGAACCTCTGTTTACAACATTCACTTTCTCTCTTTGTTGAGGTCTTATGGTCCATTTGGAATCATTCTTCTACTATTAGACTCTGCTCACTGGTTGCACTTAATAAATGGTGCTTTGATTATATTGTGTGGACACCTCCATTTAAGTGGATCAAAACACAATTTACTTATGGTTTCATGGGACTGGTTGGTCCTAACAATGGTCTGGCTTGGATGTAGGTTATATTTAGAGCTTTAAATGTCAGCCTAATTGCTCACAGACTTGGTACAGAAAATGTGGTCCAACACATCCAATCAGTTTCTCTCAACATCAGATCAGTGTTGATGGACAGCCCTTATCTTGCTTTGTTTAAAGGGCGAAAGTAGAAAAGGCATCTCTATGTAAGATGGCCTCTTTTTAAACCTGAGCTCAACAAACAAGTCATAGAAGTCTGAAAGCACCTTCCCAAGAGAAGGATTATAGTAGCTTGTGAGAGCCATTTATTACAATTTTTTTTTATTTTTGCATACAGAACTGGGGTATAAGCCAGAGGTGCAGGGGTGGTGAGAGGATTCACCACAGACAGAGCAGGGAACAGATCAGGCAGATCAACAAAGTACACTGCTGAAGGGAGCAGCGGGCGGGTCAAGAGAGGTCTGCCACACATGTGGTCACCTCGAGGGCAGGTGGGGATCGAACTCATGCTGAAGTGGCTTTAGCTTCTTAGTGCTGTGCTTTAACCTGTTGCACCACCAGGGAGGGCCCTACTACATTTTTTAAAGGAATTCTGTGTTCCTGCTTTTAAATTATTGACAGCTTGAAATTGGTCATGAGTATAAATTTTGGAAATCAACAAATACTGTTTTTTGTTCCTCTCTCTGTCCTGAAAGCCTGTCATTACACCTTTCAATAAGTGCCACTAAATGTTTATCCACAATACAACAGGAGGCACTGAGGAATCAGAAAGATAATTCGTGCAAAATTATGAGTGCACAATGGCTCATTATTTATTAGAAAACTTCAAAATGGCATTGGGATAGATGCTTATTTGCTAGGAACTATAAAAAAGTGTTTTCCATAGATACATATTGAAATTCTTACTGCCACCTTATTAATTTATTCATTCACTCATTCATTCATTTATCCTGCCAGTAATCATTAAGGATTTGTTTTGGGATAGGTCAAAGATAACTGATGCAGTTTGATTTTATGGTGTTTGCATTCCATTGGGGTGAGACAGACAACAATAATAGTTACACAGAGAAATGTTATGAAGAAGAGCATTAAATACTAGTGACCTGGGTGGGCCCAGTTTCATGTTAGGTGGTCGGGGAGGCCTCTTGGAGAGGGTTACATTGTGAACTGAGAACTGACCAAAGAGGACCAACCATGAGAGTCTCTCAGAAGACCCTTCTAGTCAGACGGCAATGCCAAGCCTAGGGGGTAGATGCTATTACTTTGCTCTTATTACCTTGGGAAGGAATTTTCAGATTTTTTTATATGGAAGTATTTAAAGAAGTGAACATATTCAAGAAGAGATCTAGGGGTGACTTGCCTTTCTCTTGTACTAGAATTCTTTGTGAAACACTTAGGAAAAATGTTATGGTAGATAAAACAATTTTAATTTAAAACTTACATAATCTGTAATAATATATAAGTGGTTGTTTTCCATGGTCAAATAACTGGGTAATTTCCTTCATTACTTATTCTAGGAGGCCAAGTTTAATGTAAGCAGTTTCCATATTCTCTACTGAGTTTTAGAATGTTCTTTTGTCAGAGTTTTCTTTTTCTTTTTTAAAAAATGTTAGTGGAAAAATGTGGCCCACTGCTTTCAGTGTAAATCAGTAAGAATAACCCAGCTTGAATAAGAAAGTTGCCTGACCTCTGTTAATTTAAATGAATTGGAAATGGGGTTTAAAATATACTTGAGGCTTTACATTTATGATAGTCCTGATTTTCATTTCATTCCATTTTTCATTTTGCCACCTGGTTTGGCTAGGTTGGGGCTAGAGGGTATAATGCTGAGGGAATTGAGTGCTAGTGGTTTTATGAGTCATTCTCAGATAGAGGTGTGGGATGGCCTATTCCATCTCCTGCAATACTGGCCCCTGTTAGCCTATTGTTTCAGGAGATTGCAACTTGGCAGAGGTTGCACATGGGGAAGTCAGGTTGCTTGTCTGTTGTCTTTAGGTGGTCTAGAAAAGACTGAGGGTGAAACCACTTTTTTTCAGCCAGGCAGGAAACAACAACAAAAGATTGTGATCTCAACTTATTTGGAAGACCAAAACCATTACCCAAGAGCCGCAATTGATGTGCTAATGTGAGTTAAAGCCTTGGCTGAAACTCAGCATTACTCACTAGTGTCCTCTGATGCTTTTGGATACCAGTTGATTCCATAAGACATTGTGTGATGTGGTAATAGTTTACCTTGTTCCTTGTTCTCTAGCTTTTTCTGCAGAGAACGTCTTGTTCCACGTAAAGGTTTTAGTAATCAAGTATACAAAATACTACTGATATCATTAAAGAAAAAGCAGGTCTATGTATTAGGGTTCTCATTATTCATTCTCCTTAATATTTTCTTGGCCGGTCTTGAGAAGAAAATCAGGAGTCTTAGGATTCATAGCACTGTAAGTATTAGAATTCTTGTCTGGCTTTATTAGTGTGACAGAAGGAATTTGGAGAGAAACCTGATCAAAAGTTCAAGCAAGGAACATTTATTGTAGGAGAGATGATGCAGTGGGAGAGATGATGCAGTTGCCCTGAGACACACATGCTCAGCTTGAGTTGGTGGGGGTCCTGGTTTTATGGGGTTGGTCACGAGGGATATCGGCTGATCATGGTTTTGTAGTTTTCAAAATAAAGAAGGACCAGGTTGACTCAATGACAGAAAGGTATGGTAATAAACAAAGACCAGGTTTCATGGATCTGTAACATAAAATGTTCGAAGGGAAGGGATGTGCGTTGTCAACCTCCTATGCTAATACCCTTGGGCAACTTGTCTTTCTTTGGTAGCAAGGGCAGAAGAGCGCTCAAATTATTGAGGGGGACAATTGCTGCTAACTCACAAGT